TGGCAGCACAATCAGGCAAGCAAGTGTGGGCTCTTCCAAAGCCCACCCAAAACTGAAAACTCATTCATCATCATTGATTCATTCTCATTTTGTTTCAAACTCGTGACTATTGCGAATGGGAAACACAAAAGGCTGTTTCAAAGAATGGATGGAAAAATCAGCATGAACAATGAACGTGAATGAGGACTGGAGCTGTCAATCTCCAAAACATCACATTTGAAAGAAGCACTACAACGGAGGCGAAAATTGTGAGTGAATAATTACTTGAATTTCTTCTAATAAGTGGCTTGAGAAGATATATGGACTACTTTTATGTTTATTTCCTTTTTTAAAAGCTTGACAGTCCCAGTACCTGTTCACTTTCATTGGTTAGAATAAAGCGACCAGTATATTATTAAATAAATTCATATTTTATGCTCCATGGAATCAAGGGAGTCATACGGGCTTGGAACAGCACAAGGTTGAGTAAATGATGCTTTTAGATTAATTGTCCCTTTAAATGATTTTCCCCTTGTTGTTGTGAAATGCAGTGGTTGCTAGGGATACAACAAGGGCCTTATAGAACATCTTGGAACCCCTCCTCAACACACAAACCCAAGGAGGACTCATTAACATGCAGCTGTGCTGTTTCTGACACAGGTTCCCCTGGGTAACGTGTCTATTTTTACCGCAGCAGCCTTTATGACTGACTCGAAAGCTACAAGCAGCTGGATGATCAAAAGCTTTGCCGTTGTACTCATCGTTTCAATAAGACCCACAACTCCTGTCCTACTCTCCTTCACACGTTCGTCTGCTCTCCAGCACTCTTCAGCTTCCTGAATCTATTCTTACTGGAATAAATACTGAAAATGAACCCCATTCATTAGGACCAGCGTATCTGTTATGAGCACATAAACCATAATAAAAAGGAGAGTATGTTAGGCTTACAGGTTATTAGGCAGTGAGCTTTTAAGGGCAGCAATTCTCAACCACATTAGACAACCTTCACTACTTTTCATTACTATACTTTGGTTCCTCGAGAAAACTGGTCCTCTTCTTCCAGTTCAATGTATGTTACCTTATAAAGACACGTAAGTTGCTTTTCCACATCAGGTTGATTTTCAGCAATCTTTTAAAATCACATTTTAAACAAAATATATGTTTTGGCCTGCTATTGTGTAGTGTACATTTTTTTTAGAGAGTAAAAATGAAAGGAAATGCAACAAATATCACACATGAGCTACCGTTCAAAAATTTGGGGTCAGATTTTTTTTTTAAGTCTTTGAAAGTCTCCTATGCTTACCAATGCAGCATTAATCGACAAATACGTGAAAAAACAGTAATATTGTAAAATATTATCTATTTGAATGTATTTACTGTCACTTTTGATCTGTTGATCTATTTAATGCTTCCATGCTGAATAAAATAATTTACCCTTAAAAAAATCTTACTGACCACAGACTTTTGATTGATAGTGTGTGTG